GTTGTCGTGCTAAGGGCCCTACCGCCGTGGAGACAATGTTCCAGGAGTGGTTCGATGGTGGTATGGTCGTGCGCCTGGACATCTTTCACTGGATCCACCGCTTTAACGCAGCCATCCGAACAGACGCGCACAGCAAGTACGCCATGTTCAAGTCCGCTCTGGCCGGGGCAGTGTTGGCCTACAACCGCGCCGATCTGGAGCTGCTGATCGAGGCCGTCAGAGCCAAGGACCCGGACACGTTCAGGTCCGTGTCGGAAGAGGATGTCGTCCGCCTGTACGTCACAAGGGATCAACTGCAATACCACGTGCGGAGGGTCACGCTCGGAGCGCAGGAAACATTCCGGCTCATCCACCTGGCCATCGAGGAGCTGAAGGGCCCGGCTGTGCTGGACCAGAGTGGAGTGAGCCTCTTTAAAACACCTGGTAGGATCTCATACAAAAACATTATTGATGTAGCATATAAAGTGAGAATAACAAACTGTATGTACTGTATATGTGCCTTTACAGGAGCCATTGATGAGATGTGGGTAGGGCAGCAGAGACACCTGGAGTGCATCCAGGATCCACCAGGGATGAATATGTATAGGGTGGCCCATACCACAACTATCAACGGTGTGGACCTGCCCTATTATAACAGCCTGGAGGGATTCCACAAGTCTCTGCCCCACATGATCCCAGGTACACAAGTGCAGTTGCTTTCATTAATAATAATAACAACAATATACACGTCTAATAATTAAAAGCAATAAAAGCACAATTTCAAAAGCGTAGAAACAGGAAAGCAGTTGGAATTAAAAGCAAATAGGAGAACATTAATCATTTCAGTTGGCCTATGCATACAAATATGGTACGCTTCAAAATTGTTCTACGTGTTATTCCAGGTTGCAGATAAGCATTTCCCAAGCTCAGTAATAACCAAAATATCTAAGCTGATCTGCAGATGTCACACGTTGCCTGCCCATCTCTGTCTTTTTTGTTGCATCTAATGATGGATTTGGTGCAAGCAATAAAACACTAACATTTACACAACAATAAAAGCTTTCCGTTACTCTGCTGCCCTCCTCTTCTCAGGTCCCCATTGTGCAGCACGCCCTTATCAGGTTTACCTGATAAGTTGCATCGGACGGTGGAACTGCGACAGGAGCTCCGACGCAGTGTTTGGTGGCAAGGGATGGCGTCACAAGACATAATCGGCATCCACCGCCTCAGCAGCTGTTTGGAGAGACTGTAGAGGAGAATTTCCAGGCCCCCGCTGAGGTGGATTCCCACGAGCTGCTGGGGTTGGAGTACCTCTTCAGCCAGAGCACTGGTGAATCAGGATCTGGCCCCTTTACACTCAAGGACATCATCCACAATGGCCCCGGTCCCAACGAGGAGGTTGTTCAGCCCAGGCAGCCCACTCCAGATCCCGAGGCAGACGAGGCTAACCAGAGCGACGGGGACAATGTGCTGGATGCCATCTTGCCCCACATCACACTCATCACAGACGAAACCTCCACTGTCAACCCGCCCGCTTTTGTAAGTGACTTGGTGTCTTCTAGAATAAAATTAAAATGCACTGTATTAGTGGTCAATGTATCCATTTAAACTTACCACATTTTCTATGTCATTTCTTTAACAGGAGGATGCCTGCAGTCAAAACTCTCTTCCCGGCCACCCAAACTTGGGGAGGTTCTGCTCACTGCTGGTGGACATTGGGCTCGTAGAGGACAAGCTGTCCCTTCTCACAGAGCAGAGGAACGCGATACTGGCTGCCTGGACTAAAGTGGAGGACCACGACAAACGGCAGCAGCAGTTCAACAAGTTATACAGGATGCACTGGGGCAACAGCCTGTACTGCCGCACTAAGCGCCACAACCTGGTTGATGCTGTTGTCATACAGCGTGTGAAGATGAGCATTCGCTAAACACCAGGACATTAGCGCGCAGAACAATAGGCTAATGTACACGCTGGTCAAACTGCTGTGGCTGAAGTCGCCGCAGGGTTCGCACGAGCCCCGAGAAGACCACCGTCTTAAAGGCATACGAGAGGATGCAGCACCGGCTTTTGGTGGACGACCCGATCCTGTGCAAAGCTGGCTTTCCTCTACCAAAAATAAATATCAAACTGTGCGGGACTTTATCTGGGCTCAAGAGTGCCTCCTCAACCTGCATGCAACAAATCAACCGACGATGCTCTCAAAAACCACTTCGGTTTCCTCTGCCGACTTGCCTCCAGCCCCACACCAGCCAGCAGTCCTCCCTCCACCAGACTACCCCCTGATGCAGTACGTGCCGTTATTGTTAACTGTACATATATTGGGTAAAAAAATCCTTAATTTTTCCATCTCAATAAGCATTCCTGATTTTTGCGTACCCTGGTCCTTCACAGGAAAATGGCCTAAAATTACATGTTGAATAACTGGCATACAAATAATATTGGTATGATGATTTTTTTATCCAAGAAAAAGTCACATGTTTTGACAATTATATTGGAAAACAACAGCCGGATTGTTAATAATTAATTAATCTGACATTTGAAATATTACTACTTCATTATTAATGATTTACATGTGACACATGTCTCGTTGCACTTGTTATCTGGTCCTCTGGCAGTTTCCTTGTCATCGTGTTTCTGCCAACATCTTTGTCTTGATATTTCTCACCTTTTAAATGTGTTTAATAAAGTCCCCTCCTCACTGAAATCATTCTCACTTCCTGGATCAGTCCTTTCGGCGCTTTCACACCGCAGTACTTTTCCCACAAAGAGCCGCGTTCACACCGCAGTACTTTTCCCACTTTAGTTCCAATATAGTTCCGAAATGTCGCGTTCACACCAAAAAGAGCCGGAACTAAAATTAGTTAATGAGAACCTTTTTACTCCCTTTTCCATCCCTGCTAGAGAGCAGGGACTTTCGTGGGAGAAAAAGGTTCCTATTTCTGATTGGCTGGGCGGATTGCAAACCACGCCCCGTAAAACTCAAAAAAAGTTTTGTGAAGCCACCATTTTATTATCCTCGCATTAGCATTATTAGCATTAGCATTAGCCCAGCGCAGAGAGACTAACTTATGGCAACACAAAATAAAACATGGGAGCGGTGGAGATGAGGAGGTGTCGGCGTTCTGGAGATTTACTCGGAAGGCTTCAGTAGAAGCTGCCGGGAGTCCCAGCAGCTTCTACTGAAGCCAGTCC